CCGAATATTATTGTTTTCTTTTTATTTGATCGGCTTTAAAATCGAGTTTAGACTAAAAAATTTTACGACCGGATGACTAGAGTGATTGGACAATTGTTTATAAAAAAAGATTGACAAATTTTTAGGAAATAAACGTTACATTATTTATCCTACATATTTTAGATATCTGTGGATACTTTCTTAAACTCTATCCGGTCGAGTTGACCTTCAGAGATTGGAGTACTTTTATTTACAAAGTTTACATTCAAAGATAATACAATTACGAACCTTGTACTTGTACAATCCCAAGGAGGGGAATTAAAAATCCGATGACCAAAATCATCGTTCAATGTCGGTTGCCACCGCAATGCATTTATAGATAGGGTACGCTCTGAACAATAATTATATCCTCGGGTTCGGGGTTATTGGAAAATTTCACTATAATATAACAAGCACGTATAACAAAAAAAAAAAACTTCACTCAGCTCTTTAACTCTGAACACTTTTATGGTTAAAAAAGTTAACCTTTACCGTCATTAAAAATAACAAATAGTTGCAAACAAATATCCTCCTTTCACTTGTTTTTATTTAAATCCTTTGATCTATAAAATTATTTAACATAACATTTATTAAAAATTTTGATACTTTTTAAATATATGTATAAATGTGCTAAACTTTGGTATATTTTCATTAAATACGATTACAAACATTCATAAGAAGATAATGATAGTAAAAATAATAAACTTTTCTTGAACTTTCACAGTTTGTTATTCATTATGATTCAATAATTTACACTATTAATTTAAGTTAAGGTTTAATAATAAATAAATTAATTAATTGATTAACAAGAAACAATTATTTCACGTGTTTTTAAATACGATCACGGAACAACCGATCCGTTCCCTTCACCGGCTTAACATGCAGTGCCCCTGGCAAGAGCCTCGTTGTCTTTCTGCTGGATATGAAAGTCGTCCTGTTGTGGTTTTGTTGGAGAGGTTTGGTGAGCACACAACCTATAGAAAACAAAATAATATATCTATCTGATCTTCTATTCGATCTGAAAAGTTTTATTCTCTTGTAAATATTTATAAATATGCTTCGTATATTTATTGTTTATTTATTTTATACTTATAAAAATTAAAAGTCATTAAGATAACAAAATTACCTTTTACCTTATTTAAAATCTCCTTATCAGAATTAAAAAAAAAAATTAATAATAATAAAATTTTAACTAGGATCTAGATATACTATTCTTTTTAGGTAAGAATTTATATATTTAAGGTAATGTATTACATCAAATATGATTCTCTATTGGTATATCGTACATTTTCATTGAAAACTATTTAAATTTGAACGATAAATAAAAAGTCCTTTCATTAATATATTTTTAAGAGGCTATAACTGTTGTTCATTTACCTAAAAAAAAAAATTAATTTTGTGACAATAATTTATGATAGTTGGCAAAATGCTTACAATTCAACTTGTGTGACTCTCGGTTTCAATTAAAATAAAAATTACTATTTTTTCAATGTTTGAATTATCTGCTTCGAGTAATAAATATAACATCTATATGTTAAATGCGTAGGAAGTTACGTGGTTAGGTAGAAAAACTATTAGCGGATCCATCGTCAGAATGTCCTCACTTTTTCTGGTTGTAAACTTGAAATTTTCTAAAATTTAAACTCATATATGTTATATTTAAAAAAATCTGGATAACGGATTACTTCTAAACAACTATACCTCAAAATTTTCAACTGGTTTTGATTTTAAAGAAAAAAATCCAGGCTTGTTAATACAAGGAATGATAGGTTGTTGAGAATAAAAGAATGTATTCTTTCGAACTCACTAACAATAGTATTTAAATAATTATAAAAAGTTGAAGTTGAATTATAGGTTATAGGATCAAAAAATATTAAACGACTAAGTTATTTTTAAAATTTCACATTTATTGCATTTTCGATTTTCATTCGCATTTCTGTAAAGAATAATATAACGCCTAAAATTCACTAATGACTATGACACCTCTTTCATCGAATTGGAATGCGAAGAATAAATTGATTTAAAAGATAAACTTACTTTTATGAATAATTATCAAGTTTGTTTATGGAGAATTTGAGCAGAAAAAAATTGCTTAACAAAAATACATTGTCAAAAACACCTTTTTTAAAATGTTGTTTGAGACGTTATAGCTTATTAACGTTCATATGAATGATTATTTGCATAGGAGACGATGTTACTGTAACATAATAATAAACTGCTGTTTTAGTCGATAACATAAATATAAAAATAATTTTTAGTTATATACTTCAAAGAACCGTTTCGGCATATAAGAATTTTAATTTTAATCTCACATAAAAACTAAATTTAATAATCTTTAATATTTTCCAAGGTTTCAAAATCGTATAAAATTTTAAAGTCAATATCAATTGTGATTTATTTCAAAATACTTAAAATAACAATCTTTTTAAGTAACTGATTAAAATTATAAAACATTCATTTTATAACTTATATCAGAATCAGGATTATAATAAGTATACAAAAGAAAAATTTTTGACTCAATGGAAAATTTACTACGCCTAAAATAATTTTTTTTTCTTCAAAAAAATTTTTTAATTCACGAAAACCGTTTCTCTTTGATAGAAGTTGAATAAATTGAAAGTGAATAAAATAGATAGTTAGCAAAATGAAGTAATTGATTTATAAAAAGGGTACCGTGACTCTTGTTTAATATGTATGTTACATTGCTTTATATGTACGCACATGTATTGTATATTCTACATGGTTTGCATGAGGAGAAGCAAACGTATGTTATCAACCGTGTGTAACGAAAGTTACGATCGGAGTGCCCTGTTTCTTTTGTGTGAAATGATTACGAAAGTACGTGCACTTGGCGGAAAGGAAGAGAAAATCTCGGATCTAATTTTCAGAACTAATAATATCAAATAACAATTATCGATTCTATTTTTTATCTGATAATTAAAGTTTATAATTATAATTGGAATAAGAAATTTAACTATATGATACTCATTAGTTAGATTCAAAATAAAAAGTCAACCTGTTAGAAATTAATATCATTACATTAGAGATAAAAAAAATCCATATAACAGTGGTTACAAACGTGTATTAGTTAAGATGTAGAGGAGTTTTGAATTAAATCTTCTATAAGGTTACACTTGTACTGTATATCTGAGTATACCGTTAATCTACCTCAACTCCCTTTAAGAATATTCTATTTTCCTTTCTCTCGGTGTATATTTCTGGTTTTTATCTCAATTTTTTTTTTCGTTTGACTCAAGTTTATACACAAAAGCATGATCGCGTTTCCCACTACTCAGCAATTTCTCTTGTCTATAAGTGTTTTTACACAGTATTAGTACAGTGTTTTAGTTTTGCTAGTATATATTTTGTTTCCCATTCAACTCGTGGTTAGTTACTTTTCTGTTCTCACTACTCAATGCTACATATATCATAATAATTTTTTATTCACCTACACCGTGACGTCATCGGCAAGAAGCCCCCTTTCACCTGGAATCAGCTAAACTTCATCTCGTTTACAGAGCGTTATTTATTGTTGCCGAAATTTACTTTTAATCTTTTCACTTTTAAGGAATATCGTGATTACGTTTTGAAAATTGAAATGAAAAAAAAACGATGACAGAAAAAAAAAACATAAAATGTGGATTTTATTACAACCTAATACTTGGTAGTGTTTGATTAAAAATGAACTGTAGAATATATATATATATATATATATATTTGATTAAAACTCGATTTTTAAAAAACATAGGTCGAAAACAAATTCTTTTTTCCAAACAATCCGATTTTTTTTCTAGTAACAATCCGATTTTTTTCGAAATTGAAAGCTTTGAAATCACCAAAAAAATTAATATTTTCTTTTTTCACATTAAGCCCACCGTAAGAATAAGTCATTTGTATAGAAAGAAAATAAATTATTCAAAAACGTCTATTTTATGATTTTTTACGGTAAGCTTACTATCAAGTAGTTACCAAAAAAAATCTACCGAAACTTCAAGAGTATTACTAACAATTCTTTGAGAGGCGTTTTCTGATATTGTCGTTTCCTACATTTTTTCTAAAAAAAAAATACAAATTTTCTTAGAAACTCTCTAACATTCGATGGATTATTCATAAATCTATATCATAACAGAGCGTTTTTTTTTGAAAATTCCGATTTAATACTGAGAAATTTGATTTCTAAGTTTTTATCTACTGTACAAATGCAATAAAGATAATATATTTTCTCTTAATGAGTGCGAGTAGAGAAAACACAGAGACGGTTCATACGAGAATTGAAGTACTGAATAACAAAACAAGTAGTTCCATCTCTCGGTGCACGAATGAATACACGAGATTCACTTGTCCAAGCATAAATTTCCGCCACAACTTCTATTCAGCAATTGCGCAAATCGCGCAAGTAACATGAGCATTACTAACAGTGTAAATATGAAGGTGCGCTAGGAATGAAGCTTCTATGCGCAGTATAAACAAGAGCTTCGTTCAATCATGGTGCTTATAGTTCGGTCACTATGGTCCCACGTCAATACATTTTTTTCTCGGGTCAACAATCAGTTTTCCCGGGCATACGGTCCCGCCAAGGGCGCCAAAATCATTATTGAAATGTAAGTAGTTTCAAAAATGTATATTGTTGAAACAATCATTATCAAACGACAGCATTTAAATAACAACTCTAAATTTTTATTCTTGCTGAATTAAGTCGTTCGTAATTGATCAGTGTAAATGAACTCTCGAGCACTCACAGCGTCTGTGTTTACATCCCCTCTCTGTTTACGGTATTTTAGAAAAGAAAAACACTAGTATTTAAAATAAATAAAACAATATTTTTTTTTCATATATTATTTCCGTAATTTCATTTTTTAGATTAAATATAATTAATCTAATTAGGATGATATTGATCTTAAATGAATATGTTTTATTTTGACAGGTAAAACTATTGAGAATAATATTTCAACTAAACAAATTGGTCTCGAGAAGGTTTTGCGATGGCCGAAGCCAATGACATAAAATCCAATGACGATGGAATTCAAAATTTATCAAAAACTCAAATGGAAATTAATGAATGCCTCGGAAGTTGGCTGACATATTTACAAGTAATTATAATGAGCTCAATCATTGCTTGCTGATTGTTATTAATTAATTAATTTATTCATAAATTATTCATTGTTTTATTAAAGTATACAATCTATTTCTTTCTTATCAAAATGCAAAACAACATATTTATTACGCTGGGCAGAAAATCGACTGTTTTTTTATTTTTTTTATTTTATTGATTTTCGCAATTTTTTAAAAATTTAGTTTCAACCTTGAATTATTTTTAAAGGGGTAAATTAAAAAAAATGTTAATAGATCTTTAGTCGAGAGATACAATTTTTTTTTTTTTCAAAATATATATCGATTTTTTCTAATCATTAATCATCGAGTCGCTTTTTAGTCATTAAGTACTTATTTTTAGCACTAAGTTCAATCGTACAAATAGATCAATTTTTAAAGCCTGATTACAGAGAAACTGCTTGTCTGACATAAATTTATATTCAGATATTTTTTGTAGACCATTCAATTTTCTTTAAGAATATATAATGTTTCATTTTTTTGCTAGATGGTTTGAAAGTTTTTAGGGTTCAAACTTTTAGAATATTTTTTTTCCTTCTGAGTATTTTCGGTAAATCTTAAAAAAAAAAAAAATAGCCAGTTTTTTTTTACTCAATTTAATAATTATATTATAATTATTGTTTTCTTAAAAGTGACAGTTATTCAATTATTGCTTAATTAACTGTGATAGATGTTGAACGGTCTTTGCCTAGCTGGTACGAAGTTGGCTCAGTCGTTGCAGTCAATTTTATCAAGCCATGAGGGAACAGTTAATTGCAGATTGACAGGCCAATGTCTTGCCGGTTGGGAGGAACTTACTAGGGCAACTGGTGTAGCAAGTAATACTGTTAAGCACCACGTGGTCGCGGCCTTGAGAGACCACGAGACACGAGATAGTGACGTCGACAAACATGTTGGTACCAGTAATAAATATTTCTTTCGTACTTCCGATTAGTTAATATTTATCACTTTTGGGCTTGGGTGACCTTCATTCATTGTCTTAAAACTTAACTATTGATTTTATGCTCCAGCTTAACTAATTAATTACTTCTACTGTAGGATATATTGCGAGACAATCTTTTGACCTTCATTAACTTACAGTATCAATTCTGTGTGGCTTGTTGCGAATGTTTAGGTAAGAGATATTTATTATTTTAGAAATAATTTATAGCGAGGTTGGAGTGGACAATTATATTGAGTCTATACATCTGAGAACAAATCATTTCTTCATTTACGAGAAAAAAAAAATTAGAAATACGGTTGACCCTGAAGGCCATCCCTGCAACTTCCCGCCAATTCTATACCTAAACGCTTGAAATTGCACTTATGACGTTTTAGAGCTCTTCGAGCTCATAAATACAATTTGTGTATTATTTTGAGCTCTCCGAGCTCAAAAAATAGCTTTTGTATGCTTTTGAGCTCTTCGAGTTCAAAAGTTTGATAGCAGTTTGATAAAACACTATTTTTTTAATTTTCAAATCGCAATAACTTTTGAATGAATTAACCGATTTTCACGCGGTTGGTGGCATTCGACGCAGTTTTTTAAGCTTCATAAAAAATCTTTGAGTTTATATTGACAGAGTAAAAAAATTCGGAGTAATTCCGAAAAAACGCTTTTTTCGGTTTTCTTTCGTCAACGATAACTCACGAACAAATTAACCGATTTTGACCGGACTGGCGGCGATCGACGTGGTTTTTTGATGTTAAGAGCTGATTAGTTTTTGAAATTGATCGGTAAAGCCGTTTAAAAGTTATTCCAAAAAAACCACTTTAAAAAAAATTTTTTTTGTAGTTTTTTTGCAATTTCTCAAAATCTACCGGTCCGAATCGGTCCAAAGTGTATTGGAAATCTAAGTTTGGTCAAGCCCTTTCGAATGGCACCAACCGCGATAAAATCGGTCAAGCCGTTTAAAAGTTATGAGAGGTTCACATACATCCACACACACACACACACACACACACACACACACACACACACACACACACACACACGACAGAACGATAGACATACAAACACCATCACGAGAATAGTCAGGATAGCTTTCTAGGATCTCAAAATGTCAACATCCGTTGAAAATTCGATTTTCGAAAAACGGGGTGAAAGCAATAACTTCCCAACTTTTGAAATTTTTCAATTTTCTTAGCGGGAAGTTAAAAA